AATACAGCAAGATTGCTTTTTGTTGGCTTATGGGCTTCTTGGAGAGCTCTTCTGCTTCCATATACAGCTCAAAGTATTGTCTCCATTTTTCCCAATTTGCACCTGGATTTTCTCCCGTTTCGTACGGATGGGGTTGCTTGAATGCCATTGCAGTATTTTCCACCCGGGCGGAGTCTCCAGAACGGTTTTTTTTTTTGTGTAGGTTATGCCGGTTTTCCTTCTAACCTAAACTTGCCGAACCTTTGCTCACTTTTCCCTCTTCGAGTCTTCAACATCAATGTATTACATTTCGGATACTTCTCGATTATCCCTCGCTGCCACCATGTTATAAATTACATACTCTTGTAATTTAGTTATTAATAAGCTTGTATTTATAGTTGTTTAATGAAGTAGGTTATTTACATCACATGCGTGTTGGATCTTGAATGCCCGCCAAAACCTGACGTCTGTCGTATATCACTATTTCGTGTCCATGTCATTGTCATGTCACTACACAGAGTGGCCAACTGTCAACTATACAACAATTGGGACATTCGATGGATATTCCTAAGGTACATTTCGATTGTTATACGATCCTGGAAATATTAAGGGCGTCTGTGCAGAGATGTTTGAAGGAATGAACCATCAGGGACATTTCATGGTTGTTTAGAAGGGACATTCTATAAGATCTGGAGTCATGCCAGAATATGTACTACTCGGGACATCCGATGGATGTCCCTAAAGGAACGTTTAAATCATACCCATCAGGGACATGCCAAGGACGTCCTTGCATGGACATTCTACAATATGTACCACGTGGGACGTCTGAGGGATGTTATCTCTAGGAAATTTGAAATGATGTACCAGCTGGGACATTCCGTGGACGTCCTTGCTCGGACATTGCATGAGATGTACGGGATGGGACGTCCCAAGGACACTTATTTCTGGTTCAGGACATTCGGACGTGAATTGTACCAAATAGGGACGTCCCTAGGACGTTGTGTGCTATTAGGGATATATATGGTGGGCTTGGTGGGGATGGTGGTGCCAGACATTACAATATCGGGCATACTGAGTCCCGCCTTCCTAGAGAAAATACAGGCTTGAGTTTTGGTGGCGTTGAATTCAACTAAGTTGTTGGTTCCCCAGGCTGTGATTTCAGTAAGGTCTTCATTGACAGCATTGACCTGCCTGCGCCGTGAGTTCTTAGTTTCCTGGGAATAAATGGGACTTTCTGGAAGAAAACGCAGTATGGAGGGTACTATCATCTGCAATAAAGCTGTGGATGAGGCAACAGATCATTGATACGAAGAAGGAATAATATTGATGCCAAAATTGATCCTTGTGGAACGCCGTAATTGATGCCAATGGTATCAGATGATACACCGTCCACCACCACGGGAAGCGATCTGCCTGAAAGAAAACTCGATGAGAGATGGCATAGCTGAGGTGGTAACTCGTATGATGGTAGTTTGTGGAGGAGTCCTTCGTGCTAAACACGGTCGAATGCTTTCGATATGTCCAACGCGACAGCTACATATTCCCCGTGTTTTTCTAATGAAACTTGCCATAAATGGGTGACGTAGGCAAGTAGATCTCCAGTAGATCTTCGGTGGCGAAAGCCGTATTGTCTATCATTGATGATTTCTGAGCTCTCCAGATATTTGATAAGCTCAATATTGATGGCTTTCTCCATCACTTTGGAGATTACTGATAACAGGGCAATGGGCCTGTAGTTGTTGGGCAGGTTCTTGTTCCCTTTTTTGGGGATTGGTTGGACTCTAGCTGTCTTCCAGCATGATGGAAAAATACCCGACCTGTACGAGATGTTAAATAACTTGCAGAGAATCGGTGTTAATTCTGGTGCACAGTTTTTGAGGAAAATGGGTGGAATTCCATCAGGACCGTTAGCCTTATTCGTTTTGAGACGAAGCAAAATTCGTCTGATAGTGCGTTGACGAAAGATGATTTCGGGCATTCGACTCTCAACGGGTGGAATGTCTGGCGGCACTTTTCCTTGGGAATCTGAAGTAGAGTTTGCTAGTTTGCTGCGAACATCTCTGCAAAAATATTTGCTTTCTCCTGCGATGTTGTTGCTAATGTGCCGTCGGATTTGGACAGTGGTGAAAATGAACTATTAGTGAAATTTCTTCCGACCGCTTCAGCAAGGGACTAAAACGAACGGGAGCCATTGGGACAATCTATGAGGTTCGATCTTATCTTGGCATTGTATGTTTCTTTCGAAGCATCTATTGTTTGGCCGCAGTTATTCCTATATTTTTACTACTAAGGTAGTTTTCGTCATTTTATGAGGCACTAGTCGATAAAGACATAGCCACCTCTGTTGTAATTAACCCAAATGCACTGTTCTGATCAGAGATTCGCAGGAATGGCACTTGAACCAATAACGACTTGTCATATTCTCTGTCATGTACATGGCTTATTGAAAATAATTCTTTCATAGTGACAGTGGTTCCATATTTCGGTTTCACAGAACTAACATGATTAAAATATTTTGCTAGTGGTGAAAAAAATGCAATATGAACCTTGGTAGTAAATGATAGTAAATGATACCTAACCTGACCACGGGACCTCATTCCCCTCGGGTGAAGCCTCTGGATATAATCTTGGTCCGTGGGTAATAATGATATATAAATAACTTTCGTCTTTCCCAGTGATACAAACTTCCAAAATTCAAGCCTGTATTTCCTCAAGATAGGCGAAACCCAGTATACCTGATATAACAGGATGTTTCATATTATATGCGCAGGACTTTGGGATGTGATAGCTTGCCCAAAAATATGAGGAAAAAATGTTTTCATTAACTTACCCTCTGAAATGCATCATTACCGAGATACAGGGGTGTTGAAATTTGATAAAAAATCGTTTTTTGCGAATATCTCTGGAACAGTTTATCGCACAGAGAACAACTTTTGTGAGCATTTTCTACCTATAATAAGATATTCTTTGTGTGGAATTTATTCATTTTCAAGTCATAATTGATGAATATTTTATAGGGGTAGTTAGTGTTTTCCTCCCCACCTTCTATGCGACTGTTAATAGTACAGTTTTGAGTCGCGTTTTTGCACGGCCAATGTTTTCTACACAAAAATGATAGGTACATAGATAACATGAAGTTGACGTTTGGTTTGGTTAGTTGTTCTAAAGTTCAAATGGATTTTGTTTGATTAAGAAAACAATTTTCAATATACTATGATTTTCAACATAAAAGTTGATTTTTCTCAAAAACGGTCATCTTTAGAGCTTTTGACCAAGATAATCTTTCTTGTATATAGAAAACATTGGTTGTTCAAATTGGGTTGCTAAAAACTGTACTTTTTTCAGTGGCGTAGAAGTTGGGGAGAAAAACACTCACTACCCATTCAAAACCTTCAGTAATTATGACTTACAAATAAACGAATTCCGCACAAAACATAGCTTATTATGAGTAGAAAATGCTTACAAAAGTTGTTATCTAAGAGATAAATGGTTCCAAAGATTTTCGCAAAAAACAATTATTTTTTCAAATTTCAACACCCTATATCTCGAAAATGGTGCATTTCATAGGGCAAGTTGAAAATAACTTTCTTCATATTTTTTGGACGAGCTATCACACCCTGAATTCCTGCGCACATATTATGAGACACCCTGTATATCAATGTCTGATGGTACCATCATTCCCACCAAGTCCACTATATCTATGCTTGGTATCTCCATCAGCAATACTTAATCATGGGAAAATCATGTCAGATCGATAGCGGAAGCTGCTTCACAAAAATATCAGCAATACTCTTCCATGGGAAAATCATGTCAGATCGATCACATAAGCTACTTCACAAAAACTCGGATTTTTATTCCGTGCAAAAATCTACTTCACACCTCAACAGATTCTAATGATCTACAATGCACAGATTCGGTTTTAGAATACTGTTCCCACATATAGGGTTCAGCACCCAAATATACGCTGATGGTCTGAGAATCCATCCAGAGGAGAGCCATTCGCCTAGTGGGTGCAGTCATTAATTCTTTGACATCAATGGAACACCGTAGAAAAGTTGGCGACCTTTCACTTTTCTATAAATACTTCCACGGGAGGTGTTCTTCAGAAGTCCCTGCTATCATTTCATCAATAGCAATGCCAATCAGACAAATTCGACAAGCCCACTCAGCACATCCTTTCGTTGTTAACCTTGAAATATGTCGAACAGCACTTTTACAAGATTCGGTTATCTATAGAACGGCAAAGCCTGACCCATTGTACACCTCAACCATGATTTCAGTGTCTTACTTTTAAGTGTATAGAAAATGATCTTTCAGCACTCCCCACACTCACCGGCATAACAGATTTTATCTGCAGGAGTGTATAAATAGTGGGAAATATTTCGATACTGCAATGCTGTAAAGTATCTAAGGCTGTTTCTTTGGGTAAATGATTATCGGTTTATTTTTGGTTTCTTCCCATTCATTTTTAAGATCTATTTCTGATTGCAACAAATCTGACTAAAATGTTTGAGAGAGATTCATTTCAAAATTTAACATATATTCAGAACCTTGTTTTACTAGAATCTGTGAATCGTGAATCACTGCGGTAACAACATAATCAGGCATCAACCTGTTGATATATAACATTTTGAATTTATTATTAATTATCGTTTCTAAGTCTCTTACTGTTTTACTATTTTTGTGCTTTCAGGGGGGGGGGGGGGACTGTCCCTCCAGTACCCCCCTTATCTACGCTGGGGTTTCCTGGTTCTGGAAATGAAAACAGTTTGGAATTAAAAACATGCCGTCAGATATAAAAGTAGAATGGACATGCGGGTAGAACACTTCTGCATGTTCTCTGCTCATAATATATACACCCACGTTAAAGTCTAGTTGCCAGGCAACCCATGAAGTTGCTAGGTAACCCTCGAAATACTACAATAGAGAGCAAATTATTATTTAATTATTATCTGTATTATTATGTTATTGATGGTAGTCTGACGTTTCGATATATTAGCAATATCAGTATCAGGTTTGATATGGATATTCAGAAACTTCAAAGATCATTTTCCATTATTGATGATGTAAGTAATGTTTCCTTAACAGAAATATCATCAGAACGTATAGGTACTGCTAAAATTAAAGTTTTGATTATTTCAGGGCGAAATAGATTCTATTAATGAGGCCATCGATGATGATCACTTGGAAGACGGAATTACTGAAAATCGTTTTCAAGATGAGGCTATATCAGATTTGTCAGATTTTGACGAGAACAGCAGTAGTCAGAAACGACAGAGCAAGCTGAAATTCCCCTCTTCAAATGTGGTAAGTATAGCTATACATAGGTTTTCATTTCTAAAGTTCCCAAATGTACCTACTTGACACTTATGCTCTATGACGTTTTTGTATACAGGGTATGTCACGACGAGCTTACACTATCTTTAAATCGAGAATCAGTCAGGAGAAATTCATGAAAATGTGCAAGCTCATATTTTAGAAAACGCTCTTTTCATTACAGATATTTTTGACAATGCAGTGTTACCGCTTCCACTAGAAAGTAGTAGCAACTTTGATATTTCAAATAGTACACCCTATATGTTATTGTATATTTATATTTTCCCTGGAAAGCTGATTGTATCGATGGCTTGGGCTCTATATAAAATGATAACAGAGATATAGGGTGTTCAAAATCGAGATTTTTCAACTTTAGGATTTTTTTGTGTCGAAACTATTCATTATCGGTCAGAACGACTCACATGTCCCTATCTCAACTTTCGATTCACTATTTACTGATATTCGGAACAGATACAGGGTGGTTCAAGATTCAGAATTCTGATCATCACCCTGTATTTGGTCCGATTGAATATCGGTAAATAGTAAATCAGAAGTTGAGATAGAGACATGTGAGCCGTTTTGACCGATAATGAATAGTTTCGACTCAAACAAATCCTAATCTCGATTTTGAACATCCAATATTTCTGGAATCATTTCCGATAGATCCCAATAAGTTTGATGTATCGATGAAATCAGCTCTTCAGGTAGAATCTGAAGATGCAATGAAATACAGGGTATTCTATTTGGAAAAACAAAGTTGTTGCAACTTTTTGATAGAAGCGGCAATACTGCATTGTGAAATTATTTTGAATGAAGAGAGCGTATTCTAGAATATTAGCATTCATATTTTCATGTATTTCTCCCGACTTATACTCGATATAGAGATAGTGTAAGCTCGTCGTGACATACCCTGTATATTTACTCATTACCAAAGAAATGTTTGAACACATAAGGTGACATTCTGATATTTGAGGGGGCATTTCTTGGAACCATTTGGACCCATTTCAAGTGAAAAAAAAAGCGGAGATCCTGCTTCTGATGTCTACCCTGTATAGCTTTTCGTGATGGCAAAATTTAAACTGTTATGTGATGTTGCAAAAGTTATTATAAATGTTTATGGAGTACAGGCCCGTAACTAGAATCAAATTTGGGGTAGGGCATCAAAAATTTGAAGTAGGGCACATATTTTAGGGCCCTAGTTAGAGTCACAAAATGTATCGCCTTCTCTTAGAGAATCAAGAAAGACTATAAGCAAAAAATATAGTTATATATCATATAATTCCTTTTTTATCACACGTGGAAGAATCTCTATTTTGTTCGTGAAACATCGTGCGTATCTGGAATGGATAGGAGAATAAGGAAGGTATTGGATATTTCTGAATTTTCAGACATTATTGCTCCTTGAGATTGATTTTCCTCTGTCAACTTTCACTACTCCACTTTGACCAATATGGACTTCAACATAATCTAACTTCCCTAGACGAAGGATTTCGAAAGTTTGCCGTTCTATGGACGATCTAGTTTCGGTTTTGGTCGAGAGATGTGAAATATTTCGACAAATCTCAGGGTTGACTACAAAATCGTGTGATGACTGAGCTTGTCGAGTTCGTCTGACCAATATTGGATCCAAAGAGCATCGCAGTGTATCCTTGAGTGCTGAACCCCATATGAGGGAACAATATTTTGGATATTTTATTTTTGGTCATCGAGATCCTTCAAGTATTTTTGCACGACAATGTCCTTTTCATTCCATGCTAGGGCATTGCCCTTTTAGGACCCCGTCCTTAGCTACGGCCCTGATGGAGTACAGGGGCGTCATTTCAGTGTATACTAGGGGGGGGGGGATGCAAGGAACTGAGAGAAAATATTTTGCATGTTATAAAATTCGCCGCAGGTGATTGTTTTTTGGAGTTCAAGGTCCAATACCTTCAAATAGCGAATCAGAATTTTTTCAGAGTGACAACATCATTATTTCACATATCACATTTAATTCAACTTCATTTTCTCATTCTGATATATTTGCTATAAAATTATAAAAACAATATATGACAATTGAAAGAGCAAGTGAAAATTATTTAAATACTCTCTGAAGGTTGACTGAGCAGGTGAACGTAAATTTTTCCAGATTTTTTCATATTTTTTCCTCTCGTCTCTTTGAATGAAAATCTGACCATAATTTCAATACCCCATATGTGTAATGATGATAAACTGTCATTGATTATTAGTAACAAAGGACCCCGCACAAAACCATAGGGAATTGGCCCACAGTGGGATTTGCCTGAAATTCACCTATGTTATTGGTATGGAGTTCCTGATCAAATGTCTTCATGTGACCAATCTTCTAAGACCAAAAATTCAGCTCTCAGGGCCGTATTTAGTATAGGTGCCAAATAAACAATGACACTTTTTTTTTCAAGCCCATGATTTTTGTATCTCCCTTTATAATTCAATTGAATGAGAAATGTTGCGAAATCTTGGCATTTGTCTTTTGACACAAGTCCTCTGTAAAACATGCCTTGTCCTACAGGACCGTATTTAGTAAAACTGTATTTGCCAAAGTGCCGAATCGAATTGATTTTGTTATTACTTTCTCATTTCTTGTCCTATTTCAGTGATTGTTTGATAGATGAATGTAGATTTCTTTGTGCACATAAAAAAAGTGGATATGTAGGACATATCGAACATATTATGGCAGCAACTAAATAATGAGCATGTTCCTCGATTTCCACATCTATCTATGGAGAACTTGAGAAACGTGACTTTTGGAACATATCAAATCAAATTATCTGCGTCCTATGTCCAAGACAGAATACTTAGAGATGATCATTAGTCGTTTGAAATTGATCTCAGAGTGAATGAAGCTGGATTCATTAGACTTAGAGTGTATTCTCGATTCAGGAGGAGAAAAAAATATCAAGTATTCATTCAATACACTCCGCATGAAAACCAGCCTGACGAGAATAATGAAGAAGATGTATTGATAATAGGATACTACTGCAGTTGCAAATCAGGGGCAAGGATACTAGGAACATGTGCTCATATTTTTCTAGCATATTGTGGTATTCAGGATTCGCCCGCCATAATCAAAATGTGAATTATCCATCGACTTATGTGTTACAGCATATTAAAGATGCCGCAAATCGTCCAGTGCAAGATGCAATACTCCAGCAGCTGTAAGTGTTCGGGAATTATGTTGATAGTGAGTGCTCGATTTTTTTGTTCACCACCCTGTAAATATCGGTTTCAACTTTGTAAGTAATGAATTAGATAAAGTGTCAATTAGATAGTAGAGTTATATTTATATTATAGAGTTAGGTAATTGAAAAAGTAAATGACCGATTTCGACAATCGAAACAAGTTCTCATCTTTTCCTGTTACTATGATTCCTGAAAAGCTACGAGATATATGTCCTACATAGAGATTGAATGTTAGGCCGACCATCTTGAGAATATTAAGATGGTGACCACTTTTGTTATGTACACAAAGAAATCGACATTCATCTATCAAACGACCACTGAAATAGGACAAGAAATAAGAAAGTAATACAACATCAATTCGATTCGGCACTTTGGCAAATACAGTTTTACTAAATACGGTCCTGTAGGACAAGGCATGTTTAACAGAGGACTTGTGATAGAAGACAAATGCCAAAATTTCGCAACATTTCTCATTCAATTGAATTATTATGGGAGATACAAAAATCATGGGCTTGAAAAAAAAATGTCATTGTTTATTTGGCACCTATATATACTAAATACGGCCCTGAGAGCTAAATCTTCGGTCTAAGAGGATTGGTCACATGAAAACATTTGATCAGAAACTACATACCAATAACATATGTGAATTTCAGGCAGATCCCACTGTGGGCCAATTCCCTATGGTTTTGTGCGGGGTCCTTTCAGTTTCATTAAAGTACCTAACATATTTTGAACGCAGGGGCATTTTCGTTTTATAATATTTTTTATTTTCAGAAACGAGGAGAGAAAATCCCAAATAATCTAGGGAGATAACGAAAATAAAGGAACTTCAATTAAATACGAATAATGTAAACACTTAACAAACGATGAGATTTCCACAAAGTTCTTAAACAAACGACACGTTTCGCTAACACAGTAGGTCAGGTCGTCAGGTGATATACTGGTGATATACTGGTACGATACCGATAAGATTTCCACAAAATTTCTCAAACACACGACATTTGTGGAAATCTTATCATTTGTGAAGTTTTTACAAATCAAAAAATATCTGAATGAGGTTGAAGTAATGTAAATTTTCGGTTTAGTAGTGTTGAATGATTTTTATCAAGCAAGAAATACTGACTCATTTCTCAATTTTGCCAAATCATTCAGTGATTCTCTAATTCATGAACGGAGTGGGTGGGATGATATGGTGCTGGGACGTACATTTCAAAGTCCGATCTTCAATGAACATTTGCTTGCTGTAAGGCGGGCCTTTCGCGACAGCTTTCCGACCGAATATAGCCTATATATATACTAGTTCAACAACTATTTCCAGGTGTCAGTGTGATGTCGAAATCGGAATAAAATAATTAAATTACAGCTTTCACAGCTATTGTAGAGTTCTTCGATTTCGTCTGTTACAGCAGGTCACCAATAGATGGCACACAATTGAATGCAATCGTAGGTAATTGTACTATGTACGTGCAGTGTTGCCAGAGCTACTGCTCCACGGGCCTGCTGAACATGATTCCACTTTTCACTCCATTCAAGTCAAGCAAATTCTCGCTACTCGCTACAATGAAAATTTATGTCATGATTTTTGAAACTGTCTTCACAAGTAGTCTTTCGAATATTTCTTTTCCTTTTTAATTTCATTTCCTACTAATATAACTTATCATTATTGGCGTCACCAGAAAAACTTCCAAGGATGGGGATCGAAATCATTGTTCAGGGCAAAATAGTCTGTGTAATTCAGAAATAATGTGTGCAAGATTTTTTATCAAGTTCAGATGGCTATAAATAGAAATTTCG